TACTTTCTCTCATAGAACCTTCTTGCATGCCACCACCTTCCCCAAACACCCACACTCCACCTGTTCAGGAGGCATTTGCTGTCCTGCTGCTGCCACTGGAAGGACTAAAATTAGGTAGCATTCCTCTTCCTGGAGAGGACTTTTGGTGTACTGTTAATGTACCCTCTTTTAATTTCTTCTCCCACTCCCTAGGAGTTTCTCTATAAATTCAGAGAAATTTGTAGAGCAAAATTCCTATCTCCTTTAGAGGCCTGGCTGTGATCCTTTGGATGCAGGCATGCCAGAGGCTCTGCAGAGACTTGGCTGGAACGAAGTGACTGCAGGTTTCTGGGCATCATGTGGGATTCCTGCAGTATTTCAGGTCAGTGCCACTCCTTGTGAGCACACTAATTTGTCTGGATGCTTAGATGTATTCAAATAGGTTTGGTTTTGGGAGGATTTTTTGTAAAAGGAGATTCTTTTACCACATTAAGTAATTAATAACAGAAAAAAATAGTTAAAACAGTAGCCAGTGTCAATGAGAGGTTGATTATTTTTGTCTTTTCTCTAGAGAAGGTCATGATGATCTTTTTAGTTCAGGCTGCTTCTGTGCTTGGGCCAGTCTCTTTGTTCACTTCATTTGGATGGCACTTGTAGCACCAAAGTAATCTTGAGAATTTAAGTGCTGCTACAATTCCAATACATAATTACTGGATGTTGTTTTGCTGGTGTACTGCTCTACACTTCAGGATTTCTTCAAAGTGTAAATAACCCCTCAGAGAATCAGGGAATTGTTTAGGTTTGAAAACATTTCTAAGATCACTGAGTTCGAGTGATAACCCAGCACCACTGTGTTCACCACTAAACCACGTCCATGAACGCCACATCCACAGGCCATTTTTAGGCATGGTGATTACACCACTTCCCTGGGCATTTATTCCAATGCCTAACTGCCCTTTCAGTGAAAAAATCTGTACTAATATCCACCTGAACCTCCCTTGGACCAACTTTAGGCCATTCCTTCTTGTCCTGTCTCTTGTTATCTTGGGAGAAGAGACTGATCCACACTTCACTACAACTTCCTGAGGAGCTGTAGAGAGCAATAATGTTCCCCCTGAGCCTCCTTTTATCCTTACTCTTCATGATAGGCACCAGAGAACCCCCTGTTAACTTGTTTGCCCTTTTCAATTCTTCAACTAATAAAAGGATCAAGAGCTGAAGTGCAGATTTCCAACAAACTGACTTGGCCAGTCGGGGCTTACAGTCACACACTGGTGTTGGGACCATGAGTCTGCTGGATGCAGGGTTCCCTCCCACCTGATTTACTGAAGGCTGTACTGAAGTGGCATCATCAAAACCAACCGGTGTGAACCTGGCAGGGATTCCTTCTGGTGCCAACTTCATGGAGAGGGAAGTTTGAGTGACTGCAGGTGTCTTTGGAACTGTGTTCCCCAGTGCTCTGTTCGTGCAGTGTGAGCCCAACCTGTTCTGTGTGAGGAGATGCAGTCAGGGGAGGGCTGGGTCAGCAGAAGGATGAGCTCTTTCAAAAAACATCTTGAGTAAATATAACAGGCCCCCTACATAGAACACTAATGACTGTTTTCCTCGTGTTATAATAGGACGAGGTTATAAACAATAGATTTTTTTTTTTATGAGATCAGGCTTTGTTTCTCAAAGCATAAGGAGAAACAATTACATGTCTCTGTCTACCATGTAGACATCAGCACAGCAGATGTAGGAGGAAGCTTGCATCAAACTGCCAGAGGAGCTGCTGTTATGGCCAGTTTGACTCTGTAAGCTGCAGGAAGTAAAAAAAAAAATTAAAAAATCAAATTTTTCTATAGTCATTCATGTTTTGCGCATCTAATTCTGCAGTTTGAAATCTAATAAGCTCTAATGGTGCAGGTACTGCTTCAGTGACATTGTACAGAAGCCTTGTCTCTCAAGGGTAGTCTCTCTTTGCTAGTGACCTGCTTAATAGTTCAAAATAGAACAGGTCTAAAAACTTCCTCCCTTCCTTGTAGAACTTCATTGGCCGACCTCACTGTAGGACATCCTGCTAGCTCAAAACTTTGCAGCTGTTGATGCACCACCCTCTTTTCCAGATGGGAAGAATTTGTCTAGATTCTCTGCAGGCAATTTTCTTTCCTTTATTCTTGAGCAGATGTGTTAGGTGTCCATGGTGAGATGAACAGAAAGTCAGTGTGGGTAAAAGGTAAAAGACTGAGTGAGAAATAGATCTTTGCCTGATGCAGGTAAGTAAATCTGTAGGACTGATAAGTCTTTTTCACACTTCTCTGAAGAGAAGGATTAGTAAAATTTAAGAATTAGAGAAATCTGCTCATACATTTGCAGTGGGTATGTGTGGATAGGTCTCAAATAGCTGTTTGTTCTTGGAGTGCCGGTTAGGTGTGGAAAGTTCCCTGTTTTCATTGCTTTCTCCCTCTTCACACCACCATTATTTTGCCTGTGTTCCAATCCCACACATCCATGATTAAAAGAGGAAATGAGGTGCTCACTCTCAGCAAGCATGTAAGTGTAGGATTATTCCTCCTACTTAATGTGCAGAAGACAAATGTGTTGCGGCTGAATCATTCTTTGTGGGCACCATCAGGATGCCTGAAAAAGTATGGCTCTTCTTTCTGCCAAGATACAGCAGCAGAGGAGAAAGTCATACCATCCTTTTCTTACCTCTTACTGTAGAAAGTAGATCTGACTTTTTTTCCTCAAAGCAATTTTAGTTCCTTCAGAGCCTGTGCTGTGATTGTCAGTGCCTTACATGCAGAGGCTGCTTACAAGCTGGCTGCTTGCCTTCTGCTCTTGACACCATGTGAGGAGCTCTTGAAGGAGCCCTAAACATCATTGCAGGAGATGGATTGTGCAGAAGTTGGGATCTCTCACTCCTGTCCATCTGGAACAGAGAAGCATCTGGAGCAGAGCAGCAATGAGGGCTTCTGTGGAATTCAGAAGAATGCTGCAGGAGCTTGTTACTGTGGGGGAAAGCTGCCATGAAGCAATCCCCTTCTTGCATTGTCTCTTAGTTGTGTTTCATACTAAAAAAGAGAAAGCCAGGTAGTTCATTTAAAGACAAGATGCCCCACCCCTCACTACTTTACAGGCAAAGTCATAATCTGACACAGAAACATGATCTGCATAGATTCTTCATCACAGTTCTGGACCCTTCTCACCTGGATGGTCATTCAAGTTCGTGTGTCCCTCCCACATTCTATTCCTTAAACTTTTAGATTGGTGCTTGTTCTTTCTGGTGTGTCAGCTGCCAGTCTGCTCCTGTTCGAAGCAGTTGCTTGGGCAGTGGCACCAGATGGAATCCTGAGTGCATCTGTTATTTGTCCCAGAAGGCTTGACTTCCAGAAAGACTCTTGCATGGGACTGGAAGGGCCTGGGAGAAAATGGGCATCTTTATCAATGTAATCTGAATGCTTGCATATAGCATTTTTTATTACTCTGTTGTAGTGGTAAAAGCCCCATTTGTCTCTAAGGTATGCTCATCAGACCATTTCACATTATGTTTGCTTTTCTGTATGGACAAAAAATCCGCATCACAAGCAATATATTGCTACTTAATACCCAGCTAGTAAATAAAAATCAAATTCTTGCTCCAAAACCTGGTGTTTGGTTGATTATAATGTTTGCTATTGTCAGTAGTCTCATAAATCTGATTTCTTTAATAGGAGCACTACATATTTTTTAGATGGGTCCCTAGACTATATCTGCTTCTAATCACACACGGCAAGAGTTCACAGCCTGATGCTGAGATCCAGTTTTCCATAATATACTCAGACTTGCCTTCAGTTCAGGGTGAATGCATGGCTGTGAATACTAAATGAGACAAAAATGGTCTGGGATCTTTCTTTTTGGAATAAAATCAATTTGTTGGTTTCAGAATCTATGCTGGCTTCATAAAGCCACAGTGCTTTGTTAATTTTGCACACTTTATTTTTGGCTGTATGGATTCTTTCACGTGGGACAAGATTAACAGGGAGTGAAAAGATTAATGAGGGGAAGACAGAAAGTCACCTCTGTGAATGGAGCGTCCAGAGCAGCGGGAATGTTGAAGAGCTTTAGTCATAATGATAGCCGAAGCCTAGTGAATCAGGAATAGTACTACACAATCACAAAACTGCTCTTTATCTCGAGTGGTTGAAACTTGCTAGTGGTCCAGTTAGAGGAAAAAATGGAGTAAAGTTTATTAAAATAAACAGAAGTAATTTTTTCCTTTCTTCTCCCTTGGATTGGCTCCACTGTGTTTAAAGTATGAAGAGCTGCAGCAACTGGAAACACTGCATCTTCTTAGAATCTTTTTTGTGTGATTATATTAATATTTCTTTAACAGTACAATAAATGTAAGTACACTTAAGAACTAAAGCTCCTATTCTTGTGCCTTTTTTTAAAAAAATGTGATTTCAAGGGTTGTGAGGCTCAAAACTGTTCCTTTTCACTGCTGTGGCATGTTACTTGTGTTTTGAACCATTGCTTGGTAAAGTTTTGAGGTATGTGCACCTCCTTGTACCCTGATCTTCTCTATTCAGGTGTTTTAAGTCAAAGGTATGAAAAGTGGGTCTATTGCCATGTCCCATTAGCACATCACAGATGTATAGATAACAAGAAGTAAAACCCATGAAAATCTGAAGAAACACACTTCCAATTTGGGTCCTGGGTCTGGCATCCTTGTAGTGGATGAGCAGTTTTAAGGACTTCAGTGGGACACCAGAGAGCAAGGGCAGCTCATATAAAATGATTAAACCTCCTCCCAAATCTGAGTACTACAAGCAGCCCAAAGGGCACTGCCAGGTTCCTGACTTTTAGTAGCATGTAGTTCATATTTTAAAGAATGAAATCTGTTATATTCCAAGTTTACCAGGAGGAGAAAACTTATAGGCTTTGCTCTATGAAAAAAATGGCTTAGGATTTATTATGTAATTGCTTAAAATACCAGGAAGTGGGGAAACCTTTCATTCTTTCATTTTCCCCTGTTACTCTATCTAATTGTTTGCTTGTAGGTGTGTGGAAGCCTTTTACATTTACTTCCGTGCTGACAGAGTTGAAGAGCCCTATGTCAGCATCACAAAGAAGAGGCAGATTCCCAAGGATGGGTACTCAGAAGAAATTGAGAAGGAAGTGGGACAGGCTGAAGGCAAGCTGTGCACACACAGGTCTGCATTCAGCAGGGCCTCTGTGATCCAGGCGTTCCTCGGCTCAGCGCCCCAGCTCACGCTCCAGCTCTACATCTGTGTCCTGCAGCAGGAGGTCACGGTTGCCAGAAGTAGGTAGAGCTGTTCTTATGACCTTTCTGGTGTTTGGGTAGGAGGGCAGTCAGTTTTAGCTGCCCTGCACAAGGACCAAGCATTCTGCAATGGGTCTCATCTCTGTGATAGCTTTCAAGTTTGGTGATGTTGCTTTCAAGTTTATATTGTCATGTTTTAGACTATGACACCTTCTGTAGCACGCTTGGGTTGCTATAAAAACACTGACCTGATAAAGTGACCGTTATGGTATGAGAGGGAGGCAGCTGGAGGGACCAAGCTGTCTTAATGAAGAAGTTCAAAAAGTTACCTCCTTTCCATTTTGGTTTTTGAGCAAAACTTTCTGGAAAATTCCTTGGGGTATACTGTTTTTTCGTGCTGCCTTAGGGATGGTGTACTTTCAGGAATACAGTTTTAAATATGAATTAAGGACATTAACTACCTTTACTTGTGCCAGACTCTGATTCTGGAATCAAAAGGCAGGACTCAGTAAACTGCTGTGCAACTGTGGTCATCTCATCTCTGGACCCAAGCTGTTCAGCCTTCACCAAGCAGTGCTGCACAACATCAGGACACATCACCCTTACCAGGACACATCACTCTTACTGTGGGTTTCTGCATCTTGCTTCCATGATGTGCTGCTAATTTTCTGGCTCACCACTAAATGGAGAACCCTGCTGGTCATGGGACCAGCACCTTTTCAGTGTAATTAAGGGCTTTGGCACCTGTGTGAACTTGAAGGTGTGTTTATACTGAAACACTAAATAGCTCTTGTTGTATCTCTAAGGCCCTGAGAGGATCTTTAGCAGCTTCACAGCTAAGGAGGCTGAGGCTGAAGTGATAAGTTAATAATTGAAATAAAGTAAAATATTATTATTCTTATTAATAATAATAATAGTAATAGTAGTAGTAGTAATGAAGGTGATAAAGAGGGGTGAGAGGGATGGAGGGAGAAAGAGGGAGAAGAATAAAGCCCAAGAAAGACAAATGGTGCCCAAACCATCCCCCAGCACCTATCAGCCCCTCACAGACAACTTCCCCTGGTTCATACACTGAGCATGATACCAATGGTATGGAATATCCCTCTGGATAGTTTGGATCATCTGTTCTGGCTGTGCATCTTCACAGCATCTTGTGTTCTTCTTCACTGTCAGAACATGAGAAACTGAAAAATCTGTGACTTAAAGCAGTGCTGAGCAACAACTAAAACAGTGTGTTATCAACATTATTCTCATATTGAATCCAAACTCAGCACTGTATCAGCTACTCAGCACTGTATCAGCTACACAGCACTGTATCAGCTACTAGAAAAAAAAAATTAACTCTACCCCAGCCGAAACCAGAACATCATAGCAGTAATTTCTTGTAAGACATTACTCCTTCCAGTTCCTGAATTCTTCATAACTAAGGTAGGTCCTTCAAATAACCATGGTATTTGTGATGTGGGATGGGGACAAAGTGATTGAATCCTTTGTTGAACAGTGCAACTAGCAAAATCTCCAGTCACTTTGCTGTAGATGGCATTTACTTGAGAAAGGTCACCTTTTTATTGTCTTCCTTTTATTACTGATTTTGACCTTAGTGGTCATGATTTCCAAAGAGAAGTCCTGTGTTCCAGATGATCAGAGAATTGCTTATTTCATAATCATTTGTAATGCTGTATTGCTTCTAGCTTTTTCAGTCACTGCTGAGATAAGTTGTAATCACAAACTGATATGTGACATTCCTTGGGTGAAATGACCAGAGATAAGCTGGCTCACCAGAGAGTTTGGTGAACTCACTTGCAAATGCAGCAGTTATTTCATGCTTCCCAGGAGCATCTCCATACAGATGTAATTCTAAAATACAGAAATGTAAAGAAAAAAAAAGTTTTAGGAGCAATGTCAATGTCTGTTAGAGCTCATTCATCATAAAAACAAGAGTTCTAACCATATCCTTGGTGTGTGTCTTAGCTGCTGATATAATTGAATGAATGAATTATATGAATGAAACTTCCTGCAATCTCTTCATCCAACCAGCCCAGTTCTTGTTCCACACTTCAGATGTCTTCAGTTTCTCTGTTCTTTGACACTGGTCCTCCAAATTTCAGGCTCTCTTCCATTTGCATCTGGTATAATTATCACTGTCTTGTATTTTGATTTTCACATGTTTTTTCTTGTCTCCTCATCAGTCTGTTATTTTTCTGGATTCTTACATACCCTATCATTCTGAGTAAATTCTGTTTAGGGGTGATGAGATCAGTATCACCTGAGAACCTGAAGCTGTTTACCATCAAGCTGGGGGCATGGCGTGTCTCTTTCAAACCTGTTTGAAACTCCTTATTGCTTCTGGTGTTGGTTTGAACACTTGTGAAAAGAACATGCATCCTTGCCTAGCCCTTTGCCAGCCAGGGCCATGCTGCATATTCCTTGTGTGTTTCATGGCATTCATTAATTTCTCTGGATGTTTTCTTCTGGATTATTTGGCTCTTGCCAGTGTCTGGCATTCTTCAAAACTGTAATTTCACAGTCTGCCAAGAATGTAAGATCAGGACAACCAGAGAACTGCAAAAGCTGGACCAACTCTTGAGGTTAGTGATGAGCGGCATAAAGCTTTGGTGACTGTCTATCATGAAAAGTGTAAAAATGTTGGATGTAATACAACATTGGAAACCCACATGTATAGCTTAATCTGAGTCCTAGCTCTATTTTGTATACATATAACTGTAGTATCTATAATAGATTTCAGTGGTACCTGTGAGGAGTAGAATTCACTGTCTTAGCAGTTTCTGAAGTGGGAAGGACCAGGGCTTGTAAGAACTTCAGGTGTAATAACAAAACACAACAAAGTAAATCAGTACCTCCCTGGATGACTCTGTGGGTATCCACCTCTAATTTGTAAGAAGAAGACAGCCTTTTGGGAGGAGGAAGGAAGAAGAGAAATGCCACCTTTATAAGGACTGTTAGAGGATTTGGAACTTGTTCCAGGGGAAGGTATTTTGCCTTTTAAATTTAACATTTCTTTGCCTGCTCAGGATGAGTAAAAGCAACTGAGTTGCTTTTCAGTTTCACTCTCTAATTTCCCTTAGTGGTTCCTTCAAATGGTCTTTCTCACAGAGTTAATTATGTTTGAACTGAAGGTTTGGTGACAATAGTGAGCTTTTAGGAAAGGAGTAGGACTGGACTAGTGTATGCTAGTGACCAGAATCAGCATGACCTATTTTCTATCAATGGAGAAATGCCTCTTTTGAAGGCTTGAGTTCATAAGACGGGTTTGAGATTAATATAGATTCCCTAAGGTGAAACTGGGGTATAAGATCAACATTTCAGCTTGTCAAAGCAGAAAGCAAGCAGAGTTCCAACACAGCAGCACTCAGTCCCCAGTGGGTACATCTTTATCTTCCTTAAACTCTGAGAATATTCTTTTGCTTCATTAGCTGCTGGAATTTATGTTCTTTCACAGCCCAAAACTACAGGAAAGATTTTGTAAAAAGCCATAGGACATCAAGCAATATTCTTGACTGAACTCACCTTCTCTCCTGCTTTCAGCTGATGCTTTTCCAAGACGTAACATTTAGAAATGCCCAGCTCTATGTGCCTCTTTGCACATAAGTTTATTGTCACATGCTTATTTTAAGTCATTATTAGAGAACTTACTCAGTGCTGTAAAAAAGATGTTTGAAAACTACTGGTTACCTACTAGCAATTTCAAAATAAACGTTTTCAGAGAATATATGCAGCACATAACTGTCAGTACAAAATTACCATATAAAATGATAAATGCTTCTCACCTTACTGAGTGCCTTGGAAAATTAGATATAAAGACTTAATTATTTTCCAAAGTAATTCAGAGGTGTTTGTGGGAAATGAGATTAGCTGAAATGATAGAGAAAATTCTCTTAGAAAGCTGTTAGAGATCTTAAAATACACTTATTTATTTCAAAAGATTGCTTAGAAATTAGTGACTTATAATTAAGAAAAAAGCCCAAACCCTGATAATTTTGGCAATATAGGTATAGCAAAACGGGGAATCCAGTTTATTTGTAGGATATTGGCACACAAACTAATTGAAAGCTGCAGAAAACACTGGTTGCTAAGCATTGCAAATGTAATTGACATAATTAAGAATTCCCAGCTCCAATTATTTTATCTGATGCAATATCAGCTATTCAGCATGTTCATAAAATTTTGAATAAATATTTATATAATTGTGTATACAAATACTAAAAATTAGGCAGTTAGCACTTTGTTTATTCTCTGTGTCCAGTATTCATGTACATTTGTACCTACTTAATATGGCAAGACAGGATGCCCTCCTGCAGTGCCAAGTAACATCTGGTCTCTGCCTTCACTTTCTGCAGAATTTAAATATGAAACCTTCCTTTCAGGGATTCTGGGTAGGTGGGAGATACTGTAAATTGACCAGAACTTAAAGACATTTTTAATAGGAGTGGTTTTTTAAATGCATGATACAAATGGGTGTATAAAGAAAATTGATGTATAGGAAAACACAGTGCAGACAGGTGAGTAAATATCTCTCTACACAGTCAGAGATAATGTGGACAGTGCTGTGTTTAAATTCCTTCAGCTTTCAGTTTTGAGCTGTATCACATAACTTTTTTGTGATTTGCTTCAACACAAAACTTCACAAGCACCAAGTTATCTGCATGTCCAAGTTACTCCAAAGTTTTAGCTTCTGTTTTGCAGTTTTTCATCTGTATGGGAAGGGACTAGCACCCCTGTGCCTTGTACTGTAGGAGTTTGGGAGCAAGTTGGACACTCTTACAACTGAGCTGTGGAATTACCAAGGACAGCCTGCATATGAACAGCCCTTGGCAGGGAGAGAAGGAGAGACACTTATGACTGCTAAGTGCCTTCTTTTTCTTACTAGCTACTTGAATATGTGTCAAACAGAACCCAAAATAGGAGGTAGGATTAGAGTTATGTGTTGGGTTTAACTGAGGTAATTTCCTTCACACAAGTATAGGCTGGGAACGGCTCCTGTGGCATTCCACCCTGCTGGGAATGCCCAGGAGTGCATGATGATGACTGCACCTGCACTTCCCTGATGCAATGTCTGCTGCTAAACTGAAGGTCCTGATTTGGCTTTTCTCTTTGTAGGTATTTTTATGGTGCTTTCTCTCCTGTCGATTGTTTACGGCGCCTTACGCTGCAACATCCTGGCTATTAAGATAAAGTACGACGATTACGATGTCCGTGTGAAACCTGCTGCCTACCTCTGCATATTCATGTGGAGGAGCTTTGAGATCGCCACACGGGTCACTGTGCTGGTGCTTTTCGGTTCAGTCCTTCGAATCTGGGTTTTCCTCATCGTGCTACTGAATTTCTTAGGTTACTTCTTCTACCCATGGATTCTCTTCTGGCTTAGCAAGTCGCCATTTCCTGAGAACATAGAGAAGGAATTGAGCAGGGTGGGCACTACCATCGTCCTGTGCCTTCTCACGTTCCTGTACGCTGGCATTAACATGTTCTGCTGGTCGGCAGCGCAGGTGGAGCTCAGTGACCCTGACTTGATTAGCAAGTCCCAGAACTGGTACCAGATGACCGTGTACTACATTGTGCGGCTGATGGAGAACGCCTTCCTCCTGCTGATGTGGTACATTTACAGAACAGACTTCTACCTGTATGTCTGCGCCCCAATGTTGTTCCTGCAGCTCCTGATAGGTTACTGCATGGGCATCTTCTTCATGTTGGTGTTCTTCCAGTTCTGTCACCCATGCAAAAAGCTTTTCTCCGCCAGCATTACCGAAGCTTTGCTGTCCTGTTTCAAGATCCTCTACTTTATTTGCCAGCATCACAAATCCTCTCTACTGAAAGGCAAGGTAGCGATGAAATCTCCTGAAAATACCGATGAGGCACGGGGCAGTAGCAAGACAATAGATTCTCAGAACAGGAGTGTTCATCAAAGTGTTTCTTCCAATGCCTAGTACAACTGGAAGCAAGTAGGTGCCTTTGGAAGGTGGCAGATCACCTGCTGGGAACATTGTGTATCTTAGATATTGTGTCTTGTGGGTAGGATTTCTTTCTTGCAGGTGTAGCACTGCATGATGGCTGACATGCCTGTTTTTGTGGAGAACAGTGTATGAGTATTTGTGTCTGTGTGTGTTTGTGTATGGAGAGCAATCGTTGTTTGTAGATTTCTATTTCAGAGCCTTTTTGCACATAGATTTATTGTCACATGCTTATTTTAAGTCATTATTGGAGACATCATTCAGAAACTGTCCTGATGCTCATCTTACTCAGGAAGTCTAAGGATGGAAGGCAATGAGTATTATTTCAGATAGGGTGTCCCATGGCATGCCATCCTAGCATGGAAACAGAGCTTAGAGCTGGACTACGTATGGACTGTAGCTGTGGTCTGTTTTGATCAAATTGTAGACTATTTTACACTCTAATCAGTGTAATAAGATAATACTTCTCTCAGTGGTAGAAAAATTGGACTTGCACAATGCACTGTAGTCTGGGTTGCCATGAAACAGCCGATTTGCCAGCACTGACAGGGAAATGTGACTGTTACTGAGGATGTATAAAGAGGGGTTATTGGCTTTGCACTGTTTCACCCTTCATGTTTACTGCTTGTTAGTAAGGGAATTAAATTTAGCACATTAATTGTGATGTTCTGGAATAGCTCATTTTTCTTTCATTATCATTTCTTTAATACTTTGTGATGTTCTGGTGTCAGGGTGGTGTTCACTTTATGTAAATATCTAGAGGCTGGGCAGACAGTGTGTTCCAGTCATGTAGGTGCTCTCCAGTGCACATCTCCGGGGAGTGATCCACCCCATCTCAAAATGTGGTGATATGAATCACTCTCTGGAGACCTGTTACTCAGTGTTAACCAGATGCCTTCACAATTAGTTCTGACTATCCATCTTCCTTTTAGATGGCTGAAGTTAGAGATCAGCACTACCCTGATTGTCAGGAGTTTGGTAGTGCACCGAGTAGGCAGCTCATTGACTTCTTGTACTGGGATAGAAGATGCTCATTCCTTCTTTTTGAGCTGTGATTTGTTATGATTAGTTTAATATCATTAATTCAAAACCCTTTGACTTCTTTACCTCAGAAGTATCACAGTGCTGAAGTCTGAAAGAGAAAATGGAAGTCATTGACTTTTTGTTCTCAGCAATACATCACCACAAATGAAAGTGTTTCGGTATTTTGCAAGTTTCTGAGAAAGCTTTAGCAGATGAACACCCAAGAATTTAGTGAAAATACACAAACCCATATGTATTTTCACAAATTAAGTGAAAGCTTTTTGCACTTTGTTTGCTTTGCACCTTTCTAACATTTCTTTTGAGTGTTACACATTATGGCTGCTCATGGAAACAAATAATTGATGACCCAAAGCATTTCCCAGTGTCCGAAGCTTAGCCTCCATTCTGTCATCATGCAGGATGTGAAGCTCTTAATAGGGATGACATCATCATAATTGTTTTAGAAGTGTCTCAAACTCAGGTCTGGGGTCACTTATAATGAAATATGTCACCTGCAGTACTGCAAAGACATAACATGCTTTTATTTTTTTCTTTACTGCTGTATAAATGAATGTCTTCATATTTCAGTTTTATTACAGAGTTATGTTTTCATTTTGCTTAATATCTGTCTGTATATGGTATGTATCTGTAGATGCCATTAAATTATTGGTGGGTGGTAATGGGATTTTTGGCCTGATTTTGCCGTGGGAATGTAACTCATATTTGGGGAAGACACCAAACACCTCCATTCTAATTTCTCTGAGGGGAATAGAAAAGGGAAGTGACTCCTTGAAGACACGACTGTGTTTCTCTGTACCTTTGTATGTAAAAGTACAGCATAGTATTTCTCTGTACTTTTCTAGATGTAAAAGATTATTGCTTTTTCTTTTCCAGTAGTGAGTTAAAGGAGCAAGGGGGAATGTAACCCTTTCTTCCAAAACTGTGGAGTTCAGTCCACAGGCTCAAGTTTTCTGATGTTCTTAGCCAAAACTGAGTATGTCTTTATAGCTGGACACTCATCAATATCAATAATCAGGGAATTACAATGGCTGCCTATCTACAGATGTACCCAGGTCTGAATTGTCAGTCTTTGGGGGAAAACTTAAAAAGTAACTTCATGTGTAGAAATAGTTCATATTTCAAGAGAGGGCACAAAGCAGGCTTTGGACACCATCAGTGGTGGTGCAGTTGTGATTGTGCCATTTGGAAACAGTGAAAGCTTCACAAACCTCAGCCAGGTTGGTGCTACAGTGAAATGTTGAAGTCAAATATAGGAGAGTTATAGAGCCAGGAGCTCAGAATGAATACACAGAGTGAGTACCATTAAACCTCACAGACTACTGTATATGCATATTTAGAGTGTGTGCCATATTACTTCTTATTTTTATACCAGTCTCCTGAAGTGCATGCATAGGGGGCTGAATATTTAAATCACTGTAATGAGAGGGGAAAAAAATAATTTATATGGGTTCTTTTACTGTCCTATGGTTTTGCCTTAGTTGTGCAGAATAACCAAATACAGTTCCAGCACTCCACCAGCACGAGGGGCTGTTGCCTGTGCAGTGCCTGGTGTCTCCACGGCCCGGGTGGTTTATCCAGCTGTGCTGCCACTGCTGGTAGTGGAGGGGAGTCACAGACACAACGATAATGTGTTGGTCCAGGGTTTTGAGGGAGCAGCTGATTTTTCTGAAGCGTGCTGTAAAGCTGGGAGAGGCCATTTTTCTCCAGATAATTACTGTCAGAGGGTTTTGTTATTGGTACACCCAGTGGCTGCATGGAGAGGACAGTATGAGCTACAAAGTCTGTCTGTGTATGAATGAGTGATCTCTTGCTGCAAGTTCACTGTGCTTTTACTCTCCTCTATGAATGTTAGAGGGGCCTGTGTGTTCCATGGAAGGGTTTAGGGCTACTGCTGAAAACTGTACTCTTTTGAGTAATCTTGAGTCACACAAAGGATGGCTCAGCAAGGATTATTTGTGTATTATAAGAGTATGCAAGACCTGACATGGGTTTTCCTTTTATACTTGTAAAACAATACAAATTAAAACGTTGAAACTGTCCCTCAAGTTGTGTTGGTGTCAGTTCTTAGTGTGCTGCTTTCAAGAAGTTCAAAGTAAAGGTAACAGAGCACACTGTCATCTGTCACCACACAGAAGCAGAAATGTTTTCAAGAAGACCTGACAGAAGAATTAATCTGTGATTAATTATATTAATTAATAATTTACCCCCACACTTCCACTGCTGTTTAGCAGAACATTTTGTAAGAGGAGGGCAGTTTAAGAGACCAGTGTTGTATGGAACAATATTACTATATGTTATTCATTGTCAGTGTGAGAATATTTACTGATTTACATTGAGAACTGGGAGGAAATTGTTATGTCATAAAGAATATTTTAACTTCTTTTCTGCACACTTGTTTTGCATTTGTCTGGATTTACTGTATACATACTTACTGACCCTGGGAGTATCCAGCAAAATCAGTGCTGAGAATTCTCGTGGAGGGATAGGAATGCACAAAAGCTTTGCAACACATGTAAGTGTTTCTAAATTTAATTAGATAAAATAGACACATATTTTTTAAATATGGGAATAAATAGATACGTTGCAGCAAGTTGTAATGTGTGTACATCGCTTACATGAGCATTGAGAAAAGATTTTGGAAGTCCTGGTGGTGATTGACAGTACTGTGTGCTAGTAAGATCTGCACTCCCTACAACATAGAATTGGTGAATCCTTGAGACTGGCAAATTGTAATTTTAATTCTAATTTTAATGGTTTTTTTGTTTTCATTTATAAGCAGTTGCTTTATTTTTTTCCCCATAGTAGCTGATAATATCTAACCTAAAACAATGAACCACTTTTGATAACCTTTAACCTATTTGAAGGCCTTATGTAGCAAAGGAAACAGGGGTTTGAACTCAGATGTTTGCAGGCCAGACATCATAGTGCTTGCAATCTTGTATTTTAAAATGAAGTTGTGGTGAGTGCAACTCACTCAGGAATCACGACAGAAATGTGAACATGCAGAAATATGGCAGACATGGTAAGTCAGTTTTTACCAGAGACAGAAGACTTGAAAAATAAAATATATTAAAGATTTTGTAATTTCCTACTGACCAAGAAAAAAATGTATAATAAAACTGTTGAGTCTTGGAGTCACCCCAAAATTAGACTCAGAATGAAAGGTAAGTGTTTCAAAATGACAATATGAAAGCTTACAAATCTCTGCCTTGAATGAACAACTTCATATCCTGGAAAAAAAGGACAGTTTTATCCTTTTTTTCTTTTTTTTTCCTATTGCATGCAAGGAAATTACATACAAATACATACAAAGAAAGCCTCTTGCCACTGAAATACAGTTTTATGGATATTTTGAATGTCTATATTCAGGTATGAAAATTTTGCCTTTCAGGTAGGAAATTCAGATGTGAATGCATCTGTGTGTACAGGCTTCTAATCACAGACTAGCATTAATGGGAAAACACACCTAAGCAGAGGATGGATGCTAATTTGTTGGATGTTGCTTACTGAGATCCTTCTGGAATAACATCACAGTTGTAACTTTTTGGCCCTGAAGGTGAGACCTGACTGATTTAATGAACTAAAAACAGCCTGTCTTAAATAGGGTATGTGCCTTCATGTTCATAATTGCTGAAATTCCTATTTTGACAGGGCACACAAAATGGCAGCAGATAGATCTTACGTATTTTAACTACTGAAATGTCTCTCATCAGCTACTTGTTTCATCTGATTAATGTGCCCTGTCAGTACACAGCTTTAATCAGACACAGACACTTTCTGGAAAATGATCGGGAGCAGATTTAGATGGAGAGTGATGCCAGAGGTAGTCAAGGTGAAGATTAATTCACATCTGCCTTCTGGAGTGGGAAGTAAATGTCAAAAACAATAGCACAGCACCTTACAGATGAGGTGCCAGCATTGCATTTTGTTGGGTTTATGCATGGATTTGCAGCTCTTGTAAATTGAGAAAGTTGTGTGCTGGACTCAACAGCAGACAGAAGAGAGGTGCTTGTGACTTCAGTTCTGCCATCACTGGCACTGACAGCACCAGCTACATGCTTCAGAATGTGTGTCCTGGCTACTTCTCCCTCTCTGCTGCTTCATGGGGGTCATTTTAAATAGAAATTAAGAAACAAGGCACCATGAAATGCTCAGCCAGATTTTTCAGTAGGGGTGCTCTTTTGGAGCCAAAGATACCTGGCAGTGAAAAGGGCTGAACTCATGGAATGCATCAATACTTCATTGATATTTAAAATATTTTAATAATGCTGGGCAGTGCATATCTCAAAAGTATCCAGGTGTGATTTTTAAAAAAAATAGAGTGCA